GGCTACCCAGCTGGCACGCCTTCTCCCTACCCCGATAACGGCTACCCAGCTGCCACTCCCAGCCCTGCCTCTGGAAACGGCTACACCGGCTACCCCACCGAAGACAAATAAGCTATTCAGCTTAACATTGTAGTGTGAAAGATGGAAAAAATTTCTCTTCTCAAGCCATGCAACAATTCTAGGGTGGCACAGGTGTTATGAACGGCAATTTGTGGGGACCTTGTGACTCTTGCACTGCAGAGTAGTTCTTCGAGCTTGCCTATTAGTAGCGCCTGGTGGTTTTTTGTTTCCTTTGTACTCTCGGTTCCTTAATCTAATACCATTCACTGTACATATTCTCAGATCACGGTATAGAACGGTTGTCTACGATTGGAGATGTTTTTTCTTTGTGTCATTCTTGGGTTTTACTTTGTTTCTTAGATAGCTCTATCAAATCAATAACTAACTTTAGTCACTCCTTTAACGCGACTTTCGCTATGTCGTTGTTCATCGCTGGGGATCACGTGCTAATCCGCTCCAGCATCAATGATGATATTACGAAGTCGTCAGCTTTGTCGTGTGATCACATCATGTTCTTGTCACCCGCTAAAAACTGAGTTCCTGGGCAAAGCATACGCTGCGCTTCCGATGATGCCGAACAACGGCCGCCCATGTCGTGCTTATGCAGCAAACAAATAAAGCGAAATCGATAAACAAATGTAACCCTGTCATCGCGAACTTTCATCCTTGGCTTGTTCTGGTAACAGTGCCGCATAATCGATAGTCCACGCTCGTATCAGCACGGCAAAATCCAATGCCATCCGCTCCATCCCAACCACACACACTTTCTGGGGCGAAGGAATAATTCCGCTAGTTACCGCCATCAGAACCTATACACGGTATGGTTTGATTTGCTGACTCTGTCGGGATGATGCTGGGAAGTACTTAGTGTAGAAGCGCTAGTGACAAGTGCACGCGACTCCGCAGAGTGGTGGATCGTTGAAGTTGGGGAAATCTATCCGCCGGTGTCCGATACGACATGCGCGAAAACGAGCTTTATCGTATACGTAATTCAACGGCTCGTCCCCAAAATAGAAACTTATTTAGATTTCAGACTTGCGCAGCCACCTGCTTGTACGTTGCAGCAACGGTTGTTACCCAGGCAAGCCTATGACGCTGGTGGTGGTTGAATCTCGACCCTCCGAGTTTGTACCTTTGTTGAACCCGAGGTGAGGATCAATACGATGGGACTAGGATTCAAGCTTTGGGGCTTTGGAATTGTTAAACCTTAGGGATGGGTACCTTTCAGAATTATTGTCCCCACAATGTCGCGCGTCTTCGTATATGTGCATGTCGATTGCAATCTTGTCCTCGTATACACATAACTCCAGTTAAGAACGATGGAAAGTGAACCGCTCTATTGTGCTTTGGTGACACGTCAACTGCGACCGATGTATCGGTTCTGGGCCATGACATGAGACGGGGGGTTTTCCTGAGCCGCGTCAGTCGCGGTGAGAAATCTTGTCAAGGAACTCTCCGTCTGAGTAATATGAGCCTCTCACACAGAGGGCCTCGACATGGTGACCAGGGAGAAGAAAGAAAAGGGGTATTTCCCCTGACTGCAACCCTCCTTGATCATCCTATTCTTTTCCCTTTTTGATCCCTTCCCATCTCTGTCTTTTCTCTCTTCGTCTTCGTCTTTTCCCCTCTCATCGCCGTCAACCATGGCTTCGGTAGACTGTACTTATAAGCTTCTTTACTGCTGATTTTTCAATATATACTGCGCGAGTTGATCTTTTTGATGCTAATCCAACAGTCGTCTTCTCAAAAGATATCCAGGGTCTAAATACTTGCCATGAAAGTGAAGCCGCTGCCGCCAGTTGATCAACCACTCTGGTGAAGGTGCAATACCAAATCGCCTTGGACGGATGGACGCATCCTCAACAACAAAATCTACTAACATCCATCGCTATGTGCTAGGACGCACGCTGTTCCGGGACGCTTTGTATTCTAGAGACTGACATAGTAAATTATCCTTCATATTCTTTGATAATAGACGAATGCAAAATCACTAGTCAGACCTTTCCGCCCATAACATTTACTCCACTAATGTTTACCTCTTAGTGGCAGATAACAAATAAGTCATTGACACAGCCTATGTAAATAACCGCGCAGCCTCTAAGAGAAGCTGTCTATTCAACATAATGTCGTTACCTGACATTGCTAAGTTGGCCATACGATATGGAGCTATACTTAGGGTACTATTCCCAGGGTTAGCACTAACTAGAACGAAAACTTCTTAATCGAAAATAAGTTGGAGGAGGGCCATTACACGGATGGTTCCGTATTATTGTTTCTATAGCGACTGCATCAGCATCTTCAGGCAGCGCAAATGGTGATAGCAGCTAAAGTTACGTGATTATAGTATCTACCATGGGCGTACTCTATAGTCACTTTTAGCTAATAAATACTATAGAAATCGTGTTAAACTTATCACAATAGTGTATAGTTATTACTAATAACATACGTCTTTGCAGAACTGCTTGGATAATCTTATAGTCTATACATATATACACTTTACATAGAGCCTAATGGCCTAAAAGAGAAAGTGTTTTATTACACCATGCGTCCCGGCACGTAGAGATGGGCGTTACACACTAAGCGCTGGTTCCCAGTTCCATGAAATCAATACAAAGTGATTCCCCGCAAGTCAGGGCTTTTGCTCAGGCTGAGAGTGCAGTGATCGATATCTCCAAGGTACCAAGGAGTTACTTCTTTTCGTATAGTCTTTAAGGTCACTACATATTCAGGGCATGGAAATGGTAGCCTGGATGCCCAAAATTACCTGATAGATTCAGTTTCGCAATTCGCAAGTGATATGTAGTAGGCGGCTTCCAAGACCTCAAAGATTTGGTTTCTTGTGCATGCCCATGCTTGTGAAGAACATCAGACCCTACCTAAAATCATCAGAACAGGTAGCTTTCTGCATACCACCAGTGAGTATTGAGTGACGCTATGGTAGAAAGTAAACCATTTAAACAAATGTCATACTCTCTCCCTATGCAAAGAACATGCAGTATTTCACCCATCTCGCTACGAGTCAACTCCAAGGTGTATACGGAACCCACGGAACGTGAGTTACTGTCGTGGACAAGACATGTAAGCATGGATTTGACAGCCAGCCGAGTAAGAATAAGAATGAGAACATAAATTAAAACTAAGAAACGGTTTTTTAGTTCGAGGAAGTACAAGGTGATACAAGCATAATAAGATCAACCACGATCCCAAAACCCACCCAAACCAACCACGCGCATGGACCACCTGATGATCCCCCCGCAGAATTCTTACTTCAAACGACATCATCGCCCGCAACCACCCAAATCCGACTTGCAAACAACCAATCCAACCACCACATCCCCACGCCGCATAAACCACCAGCGACACCTCAAAATCCGCCAGTTGCACTCCCTTCGCCCCCCAATTAAAAAGAAAGCAACCCAAACCCGCCCAAGATGTCCATGTTCTTCGGCCAAAAACCCCAAATCTCTTCGGAGCAAAAGATTGCGCAGGCAGAGGCGGAAATCGACATGGTTTCTGACATGTACAGTCGGTACGTTCTTAGCAGCCCACTCAGTCATCCCCCATTCGCACCCTGACCCCTTGAGGCGCACGCTGACGCTTTCATAGCCTTGTCAAATCCTGCACGGCCAAATGCATAGACACGTCGTACCGCGAGGCGGATCTCAACAAGGGCGAGTCGGTGTGCCTGGATCGCTGCGTGTCCAAGTTTTTCGAGGTCAATGTCAAGGTTAGCGAGAAGATGCAGGGAGAGGCGCAGGGGAAGCAGGGCGGTGGGATGTTTGGGGGCATGTAAATGTGGAGGGGATACAATGGTGGACGATATGAAGTTGCTTGAGTGGTGTATGTCAGAAGATCTACTGCCGAGGGCCGGAAAAGCATGCGGGAGATATCTGGATGGTATGAGGTGAGGGATTGCGCATGCAGGAGGACGAATGGATACACCCCGTTTTTTGGTTGGGCATTGTATGCACACACACCTCAGTCATGACTACGATGCTCAAAATCTGTACAATAAAAGGTTCATGAATTCGATTGATCGATCGATCCTCCACCGTGCCATACGTTTCTGAACGCATGTGCTGAGCGGCCATCCGCCTTTCATCGCCGTCATCATTCGTGAATCGTTGAGTAGCAACCATGAATCTCTATGTGCGGGTCCAGTCGCTACGCAAAACAAGCGCATACACCAACTCATTATACAATCGTCAAAAACATTGAACGCATCAAAAAATCGTCAAGTATCGTGCAATTCATCGTGGAGTGGAGATGTTGGTGCCCAAGAAAGTCATAAGAAAAGTGATTGCAGCTCACTGTGCGTCAGTATATCTTGGTGCACCGGGGTATCGTCGTCAAAGGGTATTGTACAAAGGAAATAGGCATCTCAATAAGTCGTGATAGTGTCGAAACGTCCATGAGAGACAGTACATGGTGGGATCCACCAGCAGCCCATGTGGTTAGTGAAAAGTACTGCAACGCCTTAGCCATCCGCCACGAACAAACAAGTAGTGAGCGAGTATCAAGCATACCATCAAAGCCAATCTGGCTTGCCGCCGGTCCTGAACCGACGACCAAGCCGCTTGATGCCGCTCACAACCTCGGAGTCAAGATCAGCCTTTTCCACAAGGTCGTACAGGCGCTGGAGCTCCATGCCAGCCAGATCCAAATGTATCTCCGCATTTCGGGCATTCTTCTTGATATCTTCTACACAATCTTCGCATCTCTTGGCACTCAAGGCGGCACTGATGACACACTGTTGTCTCGGTGGTTAGCTGGGGGGCTCTTTGAATAGAGGAGAGAGAGTGGGGGGAGTGGGGTTATTGGTTGTTGTTGTGATTGTAGGTACCTCTGCCATCTCAACAATGCGTAGACGCTCATCCGAGTCGCGAGGCTGTGTGTCTAAGCGTTCGATCATGTCATCAATCAAGGTGCGTGTGCTCTCGCGCTCGTCGGGTAAGCGTTTCCTGTCTGGACTGGCGCAAGTACTTTTCAATTTGAGACCGGCACTAAGAGGTATGGGAGGGGTTTTGCCTTTGTCCTTCTTCTTCTTCTTCTTCTGGCTAGAGGCAGGTGCAGTCTGAGGCCTGGACTCGGTCGGCACGGCGAGGTTAACCATGGAGTGACTCTTTGCGTCTCGCATGGCCTTGGAGAGTGAGATGCTACTGACACTCAGGAAACCTTGCTTGGAAGTAGGCATCGGTTCTTCTGGTATGGTGCGCGACCTGCCTCGACTGAAAATATCGCGAATGCTACGTTGGGCCTTGATCTTCTTCTCTGTCATATCACGATCTTGCTTGTCCGACAACGTATCTTCTGGAGCGGAGGGAGTCACCGACGAGCCCATCAAGTGGTCGTCGGAATGGTATGATTGGCGCTGCTGTGGCATTTCGTGACTCGAAGAGCCCTCCTCGGTTTCAGACGTCACAGTCTCCGCCGTCCTTAACCTTCCAGAATCAGGGTTGCGGACGGTATCGTGAGACTGTGCCGTTTTGTGCAATGACAGCGAGCTCTTGCTGAAAAGGTTCAGTTTCCAGCTCTTGGTGTCATTGCCGGAGGGGTCCTTCAAGTTTGGTGAGGACTTCGAGTTCATGATGCTTGTGATTGTCTTCCTGATCCCGGTCTTCTTCACGTCCAAGACTGGCTCGTCGTCTGGCAATTGAATGTATCCTGAAAGAGATGCATGAAACTCCTGATGGAAGAATTAGTACTCTCTGCAAAAAGTTTGGATTGAAGTACCTGACGAGCTTCAGTAGATTCAAACATCTCTGAAGGATTAGACACAACAATCTTGGGCTTCGAAGCGGATTCTGTAAGCTTCATGTGATGATCTGATTGGTTTGTAGTGCGAGTTGTGTTGTCAGCGGTTGTCGCAACTACTTTGTCTTCGGAAGTCGAGCTCGCGGAGGGCCTGGCGAGCGGTGAGGAAGACATTGGTGAATGACTGGCTGGGCTGACTTTTCTTGCAGGCTGCATGGAGCGAATTGGGCTGATTTTGACGACAGGTGTCAAACTCCTCAACGTCCTCACAGGGTGCGCTGCTGGAGCTGGAGGCGCAGTGCTCAGCGACGCCTTGGAATCTGTAGCCTCCGCGAGGCGGGTCCTAAAATCGCTGAAAGAGCGTGACTGCTGAAGACGCTCAGTGAATACCGCGGGGATAGGTGGTACTTCTGGGACATTGTCACCAGTGCCGAGAATGAAATCATTGGCATCAGCAGAGATCCTGAGGATCGGACCTGTACCTGTGTGCGCAGTGGCGTCTGCATCTGATGCATGCCATGAGAGTGGCTTCAATCGGATGCTGCGGTCGTCGCCGGCGCCATCGTAAGAATCTTGAGCCAACGAGTTTGAGTCCGAAGAAACATTCTCGGGGTGAAGTACCGGCCAATTTCCGCGTATAGGGCTCTCAGACTGAGCATCTATGAGCGTACGCTGGGCTTTTGGCGGACTATTGGGGTTTGACACCTGCGCGATCGGAGGGCTGGGTAAAGGCTTTTGAGTCGACATGGGGCGAGGAAGCCGAGAGGTACCCACAGGCGTCGCGTCCGAGGGAGTTAGCGTCGTTAATTCATCTTCATGCAGAAGTACAACCATATCAGCGGAGACTGGGCGGGGATCTGTCCTCGTCGTTAGTGTCAATTGCCAACTCTTGCGAGTTGGCGGCCCGTATCGGATAGAGGTCTCGACACGGCAGGAGGTTGATTAGAAGAAGGAGAGAATCTATATGAGCTTTCCTATCTATATAGCAAAGGGCGAGGTTTGTGCACGAGCTTATTTGCGTTTGTAGAGGCAGTGAAGGTGAGTGCGGATTGCCCAGTCCAAGTGAATCTCAAACGCGACATGGCTCTGCTCTTTTTCGTGACTCAGATGAGAAGAAATCCATGATCATCGTGAGAGACGTCTTCTGAGACTCTCCCTTTCATGCTGCTGGCACCTTTACTGTGTGGTGTTGAAGTCGCAGCAGATGGCTGTGGGGGTCACGATGTGTGAGGTCATTGACGCTTGGGCCACGGCTTCGGTTGGAGAAGAGGACAGCTAACGCGTCACCTTCACCAGTAATTGCATGTCCAACGACCAACTCGGCCGACGCTCATTAAGGCATCATGGCGAAAACGTACAAGCAGATGAAAGAGGCGTGGGTGTCGGGACATACGGGAAGCTCTGTAGCAGATGTAAATATCGTCTCGCTCTCCATGCCTGTACTGTGCACGATTCCTTTCTTCAAGCAATGAGTCTATACTAACAATGCTCAGCTGAGCATCTTGCTATGGTCGGTCATACAGTCGCGTCTGCGCTTGTTCACGCCTTATACGCCACCAGCCCTGTTCATCGACTTTCTACTCAACTGCGGAGCTACGCTGTTCGCAACCACCATCTACTCGCCCTCTCCATTGATTCTCAACCTCCTGTTGCTGCTCCCAGCAATTGCACTCTACGTCCTTGAGAAACCAGTTCCGGCCAAGGAAGCTCCACGACCGCCCAAGATCGACAAATCTGAAAATGACTCCAAACTGGATGCACTACCTGTCAAGCCGTTCATCACAAATTACCGCGGCGCAATGATGGTCATCACGTGCGTCGCAATTCTGGCCGTCGACTTTCGCGTCTTTCCACGGCGGTTTGCTAAAGTTGAGAACTGGGGCACGTCACTCATGGACATGGGTGTCGGGTCCTTTGTCTTTACCGCTGGTGTGGTTTCAGTCCGCTCTTCACTCAAGGAAGGCACTGGCCGACCGCCACTATCTAGACGCCTGACAGCATCACTCAGACATGCGATTCCCCTTCTTGTCCTTGGTGTCATTCGACTCATCTCCGTAAAGGGACTGGACTACGCAGAGCATGTCTCTGAATACGGCGTGCATTGGAACTTCTTCTTTACCCTGGGCTTCCTACCACCATTCGCTGCTCTTTTTCAGTCGGCATTTGAACTGGTCCCTTCGTATGCTGTGCTCTCGTTTGTACTGGCTGCCATCTACGAAGTTGTCTTGGACTGGACATCTCTTGGGCCCTACATACTTGTGGCTCCGCGTACAGATTTGCTCTCTAAGAACCGAGAAGGGATATTCTCTTTCTTTGGGTATCTTGCGATTTTTCTAGCAGGCCAATCCCTGGGTGCGTCTGCACTCCCTAGGCAGCAGCCAATCGCCAAAGACGCATCAATGACAACAAAACTCCGACAATCTACGCTTGGGAAGCTTGCGACTACATCTCTCTTTTGGACTGCACTTTTCTACTTCTCTACAAGCTACTACGGCCTTCGCTTACCGGTATCAAGACGGCTCGCTAATCTTCCGTACTTCCTCTGGGTGTCTTCGTTCAACAGCTATCAAATCACCATATGCTGCGCGATTGAGACTGTACTCTTTCCCAACTTGTACAAGGCCACAAACAAAAGCGAGGAACTACGACGCACTAGAGACGCCACTAGTACTATACTGTATGCGTTCAACCGCAATGGTCTTGTTGTTTTCTTAGTCGCCAATCTGCTGACAGGTCTGGTAAACATGACGTTACCCACTTTGAACATGAGCATCATTGAATCGATGGCGGTCCTCACAGCATACATCGCTGTCGTGGCTGGAGTCGCTGTTGGTCTCGACCATTTCAATGTAACGATAAAACTCTGAGTAAAGTTAGCTTGTGCTCAATCTTACTAAAAACAACCTCTGATTCAAAATTCGCAAGTTCGCTTTGCTCTGATCGCATTTGCTACGGTGACTGGATACATCTTTATTTTATCCGCCTTTCTTTTCGGTAGAGATGTATTATTTACACATTCTAAAATGTATGCATGCAATGTCACCCATTCAGCTCTTTCCTGTTCGTACATCCCACGTGACAACGTGAAACCGCGTCTGCCAAGGAAAGCGACACGGAAAGCGACCGATGACATCGCTGCACTTTCAATGCTCACCCCACCAACACTCATTCAGCGATAGTAGATTTAATCGGTGATTCAAATGTGTACAAAATTGCAGACATGTCCACTCCGCAAGCGAAACGCCGTCGGCTGAATGAAGCCGCGAAAACGCTGCATAAGCCATTCAAGTCTCCTTTTCGAACACCATTGAAGCCCAGCATTGGCGACGATCCGCCATCTTCAGACCCGCCATCTTCAGAATCATCTGCCAAGGAAATATTGGAAGATGATTCCGTCTGGGCAAGTTCTGCGCACTCTACAAACAATGCCGGACAGAAGGCCACTCCGTCACCCTCTGGAAATGTTGCATCAGCACAAAGACATTCTGCATTGAGAGCCCCAAAGACTCTTGTGCCACGTCCAAACTCTACGCCTTCGCGGCTAGCGGCAAGAAGCACACCCTCCAAGCCCTCAGCTGCACGCGAAATAATGCAACTACGCAATGAGATACAAATGCTCACCCAAGCCCAAACTCTCGCCACATCTTCCAAAGACGACGATCTCATCGCATTGATAGAAAAGTGGCGTACAGCAAGTCGTGCCGCAGCAGAAGAGCTTTTTGGCATCACCAGAGATCGAGTCAACAGGATGGGCGGGGTGGGCGCCTGGCAGGAGCGCGAAAAGGAGGCTAAGCAGCGGCAGATGAAATGGGATCAGGAAGAGTTGGAGGCAGAGAGGGAGAGGATGAGGAAAGCGAGGGAGAATGGAGAGATTCCGCAGGAGGAGTATGATCGATTTGCTGAGATGGAGGGGGAAAGGGAGGTGGAAGAGGAGAAGGAGACGTTTAAGAATACTGATGATGTGAGTGGTGCCGGGGATTTGCATGGCAATCAAGAATTCGCTAACTGAAGATAGTCGTTTACTATGGATATGATGCTCAAGACACTCAATATTGATCTACAACTCATAGGTTACAACAAGGAGGCGCAGAGGTGGGAGGGTTGAGCGATGCTCTTCAAGGTTGCAAGAAACCTCGGTCCAGCTCTAGGGTTATGCCTGATTTCCTCTAAAGAATGTAATCGGATATTCAGCACTCATTTGATTAGTGAATAAGTCGAGTAAGTCGGCACCCAGGTTGTTCATCTTCATACAGGTACTTCACCAGAATTGTTGTTCACGCTTCTACTTTCACGACAAGTCATCTTTACCATGCATATCCATAAGACCATGATACAGTAATCCAAATTTAATATATGGTTCGGGAATTTCACTTCAGAACTTCAAAGCTTTGCGCCTGGTTCAAGTACCTTTTTCACAAGCTCCAACACGCGTTCAGCAGACCCCCTGTATCCATATTTAGCAATTTGCATCGCACAAATCGAACCACGAAAAAGAAAACTCACCAAGAGGCCTGATACCCCGCCCCAGCATGCCCATAACAATGTACAACAGGCACTTTCCACTTGCCTACCTCGGTCTCAATCCTCACGCCTCCCTTCCTCGACGCTATTCCATCATGTCAGCCTCCACCCTCAGAAATTCACTCCACTCGACTCCAACCCAATCATAAAATCGCGACAAGCAAAAGGAGTACTTACGTCTCAATCCCACATTCTTCGCCAAAACCTGCACCTCTTCAGGCTTCCCGAGTTGCGGACACAACTCACAGCACCGCCTCAATATATCCCGCCCAAGCTCCTCGTCCCACTCAGCACTCCAATCGTTGTCTTGGCGGGAGCCTCCTAGAATAACACCGCCGCCCAATGGCCGGGGGAAGACGTACGTGCAAGTCGGATCGATGCGGTGGGGTGAGCGAAGGTACCTTTTCTTTTATTAGCCAAAAAACAAAAACCGACTTTTCTTTAATGTTTTATATCATGTGGATTGGCAGAATGGGGGTTACAGAGAGAGAGAGAGAGTATGTGCCGGGGGGGGGGGGGGGGAGGAAAGAAGAAAAGGCATCATAAATTACCCCAGCCTCTCAAATTCATACATTCTTTCAATCGGGACTTTGGGCTCTGCGACTAGCAGCGTCTGGCCGCGGGTCGGGTACAGATTCGCATCGCGGATGTCGGTTAGAGACAAGGAACCGAGGCCTGTGGCGTTGACGACGAGGGTCGCGGATGGTACATCTTCCAGCAGCGAAGAAACAGATGGGTACTGTCGACGGAGTAAAGTGATGCCTTTGGCTAGGGCCTGGTGTTGTAACCTTTTTTTCCCACCATCGTTAGCAATATATCAACTCAGACAAGGGGTGTTATTGTTGTTGTTGTTGTTGTTGTTTTCGGAGGAGGAAGAGGAGGAAGACAAACCATTGCAAATAAACCTGAGTATTAATGCGAAAAGTCTGTGGTATTTCAATCCCAAACACGGCATCTTTGGGTAAATCTTTGTCTCCTAGTGGTTTTAAGCCGCCGACTAGTTCGTCATACCACACTTTTCCTGTCTCTTGACTCAGGATTCCCGCTTCTTCAATCGGCGTGTCGAATACTGCCCACATGCCCATCCGTCCCAGCCCCGTTTCATTCCCGCCATCGCTCCCAGCGACGTTCTTGACTTCGCCGGGTGTGGTGGCTTGGCAGCCAAACACGGCCTTGCCGTCGATTAGCTCGCCAAAGCGGCGGAACGTTACTTGGTCGTATTTTTCAAGCGGTCCGTTGTCTGTGGCCATGGAGGACCAGTTTGCGCCCGCCCAGGGCGACGTGTATTCTATGGAGCGGTCGCCGGGGAAGTGCTTTGCGGCGATTGTGATTTTGGCCGTGGGGTAGGTGTGGGAGAGGACGAGGGAGGTTGTTAGGCCGATTACGCCAGCACCTAGGATGAGGATATGGGGGGATTCTTGGGGGTTTGCCATTTTTTTTTTCTTTCTTTTCTTTTGGGGCCTTGATGGTTGGTCTTTTGTTTGATGAAAGTGGATTCAGAGTACTACTGGTAAATATTGGAAAGCAGTGGGGGGGGGGGGTGAATCTAGATTTGGGTGTAAGTATTAGGAAGTGATGGCGATGATTAGGTATGTGGACAATCAATCCGAAGATCTGGTTACGAAGAAATGCAACTAGTTCAAACTTCAAACTTCAAACTTAAACTTGAAGCACCTTATAATGATCCCTCGTCGGAATGATATGGGGTCATGGAGTCACACTATTCCGAAGCAGGACAGCCTATTCCGACGGTAAAGCAGGCTATCAGCCCATTTGGAGATCTCCAATTGTTTTAATACATTACAGGAAATATTTACGTACCAGATTTATTCCGATATGCAAACGGATACTTCTTCAGGCAGACATGAACTCCTGCTGGCGGTGTGGGGGAAGATATATCGGCGTGGGTGATACGTATGACATGAGCAGATAGTGATGCGAGGTCCGAAATCGGTATGGCGCTTCCGGCATGTCTTCACGAATGAACTTCACAACATGACACGCGACTGCCAACCATAAGATACATGTACTCAATAAACTCAGTGTCATTAGGGCATATTGATTTAAATATGGATTTTGATAAACCAATCGACTTTTGAACACACCGAACCCATGACAGCAACCCACGACCAAAAGAACCCATATAATACAAACCGTCAACCCAAGCGCCACGAACCGATTCTGAAAATCATTACGCCGTCTGCTTCATAAACCAGTCGGAGCTAGCATCTACCATGTAGTTTGTAATATTGGATTCGTTGCCAAAAGTGCTATCAGGCATCTGCACGTTACCATCGGGTGCAGGGTAGCTCATGACTCCATCCATTGATACGGGGAGTCTGGGCATGTTGAAGAAATCGAATACGTCCAAATACTCGAGTTCGTTGGGTGCTGGTGTTCGAGCCGAAGTAACGGATGCCATCTTGGTGCTCTGGTTGCTACTGAGCTTTGGTTGTCGCGAAATGAGAAAGTCCAAGTCAAATGCGCAACGTCGCATGTCCGCCAGAATTTTCACTGTCGAAGGCGTGACACGTTCACCGTTGGCACCAGCGGGGGCTTGTTGGCTTTCTTGGTACTCTGATAGAACACGTGACAGCAGGCTTGCATAGCGCGTGCCGACCTCCCAATACTGACCCATGTCTCGAAGGGTGCTCACGAGGAGGTTAATCGATTGATCAACCCGATGATCAATAGTTGAGCCATGAACCAGGAGAACTCGGGCGGCCACCCAGAGTGAGAACGCAAATGGAGGGCCGAGTTTACTCAGCAGCGCGTTGTCGCGCACAGTAGCGCATAGAGCAGTAATGTTTTCAACGGCACTGAGACACCTTTGACTAGCACTAAACGACGGCGTAAAGATGGGTGATCTATGAGTGGGGTATGCTGCAGATGAATGCAAGCGAATGACGGTACTAGAGGAGTCAGTACATGTGCTGGAATAGTGAAGAGTAACGACTTACGTATGGAAAGCTGCATGGAGCATGACCAAACCACTGTCAAGGTTCTGTCCCATGCTAGGTTTTGCGAATAGTCTGGCTGAGTTGCCATATTCTTGCGGAAGATTGTACTTCCACTGTTCGATGGCATTGTCAAGTTCTCGATATTCGCTCTGCCAGGACTCCACGTCAGACAGAGATGTGATATCCACGGGCTTCTTCAAAAACTTGTGTATCCTTGTGAGAATCCCCAGAATCTCAATCAGATATGAGAATGAGCCAAGATTTTCGGGTCTATTCATGCTGTAGTCTGATCTTGCTGACGTACGGAACCACCTTGTCTCTACAGGCGCATTGCGTGCATATAGGTCGTCGCGACACGGCAAACGACGGTCGATTTCCTTGTCGTCCAGAGCAAATTCAAAGGCAGTCGCGACCGTTGCGTACCGATCAAGGACGTAGATCATCCAGAAGAGCCTGCGCCGGCTCTCCTCCTCTATCCAATCCTTTGGTTCTGGCAGAGTCATGGCCCGCAGGGTGTATATAGAGGCGAACTGAGGAGCGACGCTTGGTGAATAGCTCTCAACCGACAAGCCCAGCTGGACCACTGAACGAGTTATCAGTGCGAGCAAGTTCCACCCAGGCGGACCATTGGAGCAGCCAACAACGTCAAGTGCAAGGATGACAAGGGCCTGTAGCGACTTGACCGAGCTGTTCTCTATACCGTAGAGCAGAACTTTTTCTTTGGAATTCTTGTGATATCGCGTGCGCTTCTCAGGCGTAAAGCGTTGGTCGGTGGAGAACTTTACGGTTGTTGCGACGACGGAGTGGAGTATGATTTTGTCGGCATCATCAAGGGGCATGTCTCCAAAGAGTGAGTTGAGAGTGCTTTGGCGGTGGAGGATCGGACACCAAGTGTTGATATGCTTGAAGAAGAGGTCGACAAGCCCGTAGAGCAGGTCGTATGGGGGAAAGTCTGCGTCAGCATGGCCCAAGTTCCGTGCCATTGCGGGCTGAAATTGCTCGTTGTAGGGTGTGTAGGGCTCGCGTGTGAGGGCGCCGCCAATGGCCGTTATGTCTTCGGGCGTGTAGCTGTGGCTGGCGACCGAGGAGGCGGGACGGTTGTCCGTGACGCCATTGCCGTACGTGGTGTGGATGGCATTCTGCGAAGGAAACGTGGGCTTTTGAATGAAGAGGGCGGTCTCGGGCCTGGGGATATGAGGAGTCTGGACAATGGGCGGGCTTCGGAAGGCAGTTGCGTGCTGGGGCGAGGGGCCGGAAGTTGGGACCTGGTTGTTGGTGAGGTTGTTGATTTGCGACTGTTGCTGCAAGAGGAGAGCTTCGAGCTTATCTACAGATCGTAGGTGTCAGCTTGCGACTGCTTAGTGGGGCAGATACGGGGATCTGAGTAATTCTTGAAGCTGGAGTCGCCCCATGGGGATACCTCGGCTACATGATTGCGTGTGTATCTTTGTACTTGAGGGCGCAACTTACCAAGTCGCGACTCGAGTTCGCGTCCGTAGCCAGCTCGGAGGCCCGGCTTCTTGCGTGGGAGGTAGACCTAGGGGTGGTTGAGTTTGCAGTGGGCACGTAGGAGACGGGCATGCTCACACATGCGGAGTGGTTCTTCAGACACCACGAACAGGCTGGCGAGGCCCTGTCGCATTTCACTTTTCGCTGCTCTACACAGCGTCAGACGATGAAACGGCGTGTGCATGTGCATATCTCGATGTATATATATGCCTCTGCCATGGGCGACTTACTGCATGTCTCACAGCTCACGGAGAGAGGCCGCTTGCGCTTGTTGGATGCGCTAGCTTGGCCACGGTCGTTGGCATCGTCGTCGGTGGAGCGCTCATCGCCGCTCCAGTCGTGGCCGTGCTCGTGAGAGTGCGAGGAGAACTTGGCGGTGCCGTTTGGGCTCGCAGCTTGCTGTTGCGAGGCACTGGCATCCATGGTCGATGATGCGACTGTCGGCGTGCAGCTGTGCGCGAAGGTTCGGCAGAGCGAACACCGAACTTCAGCCCCGCCCGCAACCTCGAGCCCTTACCCCAGACATTGGCACCGGCGGCCACACGGCGCCCATTGGTGGCCTCGGCGCACTCGGGGCAATGCTGATCTGCACCTCCAGCCCATGGCCCTGCCTAAGCTTTCCAAATCATGCAGCCTTGCGCGTTGCTCTCCACCTGATGCCTGTTGCAGCAGCGCCTGTCGCTGTCCTTCGTTGCACGTCGCAGCGAGATGGACCGAAGCATCCTCTTGCTGTGCATGTCGCCCACCATGGCCCTGCACATGATCCAGAGCCATTGAATTCAAATATCCCCCACGTACGACCTGCTGCCGTCTGCCCCTCATACTCGTCCAGCGTTCCCTCTCGCCCACGACTAGAGTCACAATGGCTTCTCCAGCAACTTCTGGCGCGGCGCGCCCGTTCCCTACCATCAAGCATGTGCGCACCTTTGTAACACAGGGCCCCGGAAGTGGCGGAGACTACCACAATGTTGCTGGTGGCCATTGGCTCATTGACAGCAAAATCTCAACTCCAATGAGCCAGTATGAGCAATATCGCAAGTCGAGAACGAGCTGGGGAATCAATGTTCTCGGTTCTTTCTGTGTCGAGATCGAGGCCAGTGATGGCACCAAAGGCTTTGCCACGGGCTTTGGAGGACCACCAGCGTGTTGGCTGGTTGCTGAACACTTTGAGCGCTTCTTGATCGGCCAGGGTGAGTGTCCAACAAACCCCCCTCGTATAGGCAGTGTTAACAACATGCAGACCCCAGAGACACCAACCACATGTTTGAGCAAATGTACCGCGCCTCAATGTTTTACGGCCGCAAGGGTCTCCCCGTCGCCGTCATCTCAGTCATCGATCTCGCCATCTGGGATTTGCTTGGCCACATTCGCAACGAGCCCGTGTACAAGATGCTGGGTGGCGCTACACGTGAGAGGCTCAACTTCTACTGCACTGGACCTGAGCCAGCAGCAGCAAAGGAAATGGGCTTCTTTGGCGCAAAGGTGCCGCTGCCCTACGGTCCTGGCGAGGGTGTCGAAGGCCTGAAGAAGAACGTCGAATTCCTCACCAAACACCGTGAGAGTGTTGGCCCCGATTTTCCCCTCATGGTTGACTGCTACATGAGTCTGAACGTGCCTTACACAATCGAGGTGGTCAAGGCAACCGAGCACCTCAACCTCAACTGGTGGGAGGAGTGCTTGTCGCCAGACGACTCTGATGGCTTTGAGCAAATCAAGCGTGCTCACCCCCGAATGAAGTTCACCACTGGCGAACACGAATACTCACGCTACGGCTTCCGGAAACTCATCGAGGGACGCAACCTGGATATCCTCCAGCCAGACGTAATGTGGGTTGGCGGCATGACGGAGCTTATCAAGATCTCGGCCATGGCTGCTGCGTATGACATCCCTGTTGTGCCCCACGCCAGCGGGCCGTACTCCTACCACTTTGTCGTCTCCCAAGCGAACTCGCCTTTCCAAGAGTACTTGGCAAACTCGCCAGATGGCAAATCCGTTTTGCCCGTATTCGGTAACCTGTAAGTGTCAGCATTTGTGCTCTTGAAAATGTTTTCTGACCAGCCGTAGCTTCACCAACGAGCCCATTCCCACAAAGGGCTATCTCGACGTCAAAGCCCTCGATCGTCCTGGCTTTGGCCTTGAGCTGAACCCGCATGCCGGATTGATCGACGCCACCCGCATCCTCAACCCTGCGCCACAAAAGGCCCTGAAGCCTGCCGAGCCAGAGAAGCCGGCCGAGGCCAATGGAAGTGCGTAATGTTTGCATAGCGTAATGGTGTTCATGGAGTTGTGTACAGGTTGGTTCGGGTGGGTTTCTTGGTTTGATGCATTGCGCTGGAGCATCATATGTTTGCTTCTTTTTGTTCGCTGCTGGGTGACTGGTGGCGGTCTGCGGCTGCATTTCCATAGCTTCCGTCACACAGTAGCTTCGATGACTGCGCTGGCAGCAAAAGCATTGCTTGCAAATAAACAATACATGTCATGTCATGTCTATAATTAGTAGTGACTGGTGGGCGCTGACGATCTCGCAAGCCTCGATCTTTGCCCATGTGCAGCAGGGACGCACGGCGAGTGGGGCAACACGAAGCGTCAGAGCTGTGCTGTAGCCAGGTCCTGTAGGACACGCGGTGTGAAACCTGCAGTTCTGCGTTCCTTTTTTCAACCACTCTTTGTGTACTTGTAGAGCGTACACCCCTTCAATCAATTCCAATTGTTGTTCCCATCATCACAACTACCCCGCCACAACCCCACCTCATCATGGAGGCCATCAAGGATACCGTAAACAGTGCGCTTGAGAAGCTTCACATCGGTGGAGCTGCTCAAGGCGCTCCTGCAAAGGAGCTATCCGAGGCTGAGTTCAATGAGCTCAAGGCCAAGTACCAGAAGGCTGGTCAAGATCAAGTTTTTGTGCGTGCGGCCTTCCCCAACTCCCATGTTCTGGAGCACCTCAATGGATTTCATGACCATCAGGCGAATTGCAATCACCAAACGCAATGCTAATCTCTTCCCCATAGGCTTTCTACGACAAGCTGTCCACCGCCGAGAAGGCCTCTCTCTATGAGCAGCTAAGCAACTTCAACCCCGAATACATCAACGAGATCACCGAGCGTGCCCTCCACCCTGTACAGACCGAAGCAACTGAGAACAAGCTCGAGCCTCTCCCTGAGAATGCCACATCCTCGGTCCTCGACTCCTCGCAGGACAGCCTCGATCAATGGTACAACAGCGGCTTGGAATTCATTGCCAACAACCAGGTCGCCGTTGTGCTGATGGCTGGTGGTCAAGGCACCCGTCTGGGAAGCTCAGCTCCCAAGGGGTGCTTTGACATTGGACTCCCAAGCCAGAAGAGCTTGTTCCAATTGCAGGGTGAACGCATCAGGAAGGCCGAGATGCTGGCAGCAAAGAAGCACGGCAAGGAGAACGTCACCATTCCATGGTACGTCATGACTAGTGGACCTACCCGAGGGCCTACTGCCGAGTTCTTTGAGAAGCACAACTACTTCGGCTTGAAGAAGGAGAATGTTGTCATCTTCGAGCAGGGTGTCTTGCCATGCATTTCAAACGAGGGCAAGATCCTCTTGGAAAGCAAGTCAAAGGTATGCCTCGACAATCCCCCAGGCCTACCAGCCAACAACGCATTAGGATAGTACTGACACAGAACAGGTCGCCGTCGCGCCTGATGGTAACGGTGGTCTTTACCAAGCCCTTATCCAATCTGGTGTCGTAGCCGACATGGGTAAGCGCGGAATCAAGCACATCCACGCCTACTGCGTCGACAACTGCCTGGTTAAGGTCGCTGACCCCGCCTTTATTGGCTTCTCTGCGTCCAAGAATGTCGACATTGCCACCAAGGTCGTTCGCAAGCGCAATGCCAAGGAATCTGTTGGCCTCATCCTCCAAAAGAACGGCAAGCCAGATGTTGTCGAGTACTCTGAGATTTCTACCGAGGACGCAGAGGCCAAGGACCCCAAGGACTCTGAGCTGCTCAAGTTCCGTGCTGCCAACATTGTCAACCACTACTACTCATACAGCTTCCTCGAGAGCATCCCTGCATGGGCCAAGAAGCTACCCCACCACGTTGCTCGCAAGAAGATTCCCTACGTCAACACCGAGACTGGGGAGACGATCAAGCCAGAGAAGCCCAACGGCATCAAGCTCGAGCAGTTCGTCTTTGACTGCTTCCCCTTCCTTACACTCGACAAGTTTGCTTGCATGGAAGTAAAGCGTGAGGACGAGTTCTCACCGTTGAAGAATGCCCGCGGTACTGGAGAGGACGACCCCGACACGAGCAAGCAGGATATCATGACGCAGGGCAAGAGGTGGGTCCAAGCTGCCGGTGCTACGGTTGTCAGCGAGGACCCCAAGGAGGGCATCGAGGTCTCCCCATTGATTTCTTACGTAAGTTTTCCTAGTGACACGACTCCCGTTGTACTTGCTGTATACTAACTGTAGTGCAGGGCGGTGAAGGCCTCGACTTCCTCAAGTCGAGGACAATCAAGGCTCCCGCGGTCATCGAGTCGGAAGACTAGATGGTATTGTACCAAGACTGATCCAATACCTTTTCATGCATTCAGCTGTACACGGCGTACGGTTGTAGAGATAAAATATCTACTAGCACGAAGATTGGAATCAAATAGATACGAATGAAGATGAACATCAAAGTCAATGTCGTAAATGTCCAGCATGTGCACATGCAAGTCCATTATGAGGGAATTATTTAGCAGAAGCTACTACCGGTCTACCTACGTAGTAATATCTACGTATGGATTGGAGGAACAAGCTTCTCCATTGATCTGAGCGTCACGTCTGAGCGCAGTTGAGATGAGTAGAGTCCCAGTAGGTGCCAGGATCTGCACATCTGCACCCGGATTCTAGTATATTTGCGCACTGAGAACCCATCGAGAAGCTCTACCGAAGAGTGTGCGTAAAGTTAAATTGAGCGCTAATCACAATTACAGTATAACCCAAAGATGAACTGCTGATACAATACGTATAACCACCCTTGAAAGTCCGTATCGCTAGTCTCATTATTCAAGAGAGATATCGTACGGTGTAACTCGTCGGTCCGTTCTTCTATTTCGTTCCGCCAAAATTCTAGTCAAGTGATTAAGCTATGTTTTTTTGTTTATTCATCACCTACTCGGGCATCTGTATGAAAATCTGTATCAGCCGTTTCACCTTTTTCCTGTTGAAATCAAGCAAACCGCGCCAAATTCAATTGTTTTCTTATAATCCCATCCACTCAAAATGCGTTTCTCATACACAGCCACTCTCCTCCTCGCGTCCGTCTTCGCCCAATTCTGCCACGCCGACATTGGAGCTGGCTACAGATGCTCGCGATCAAACTACAGCGTAACGAATGTGGCGTGCGATAAGGTTCCTGGTGCAAAGTTTACGCTAAGATAGGAAGTGATAAAGTCACGTGTCCGTACCACGTGGGTACTGTGTACTGTAATGCACATTCGAGATGCTAAGCGATGGCACGGAGCACAGGACCAGATGGGAGAGGGGCGGCAGCGGCGGAGGGGTACGAGTCCAGGATAGGGCGTCCCCGCGAGGGCGACAGGGCGGCAGATGCACGGCAATGGGCGACGAAACACGGCTAGGGTGAAGGGTACATGGATGAGTGCACCTATGGGAAGGCGTATGATGCAATCTGCAACGGCTCGGGGATTGTTGCGCGCAGGTTTCGACCTCGGGAACAGCCAAATTGCGCATTTCGCTAGCGCAACCGAAGCAGGGACCACAGCCATGAGTGGTGCATTTTGCCCGTCGCCTGAGCATTCCATGATCCCCAGTCTCTTACACCACACCCATAGTACAATCGGAGGAAGGTTGCTGAAGTGTTGTCGAGGGAAGGTCTGGAAAGTCGAACGTACGTTGCGCCCGCCCAAGATTGCAGTTTCCCGCTTGTGCGCGCGCCTGGGTCCTCTCGGCGCATGCGATCATGCCCCGTTTTACCCCTCGACCGCCGCCCCTCGAAAATTTGCGACTGACGACAAGCGCAGGTGACGGAATCTGAAGAAGAATACGAAGCAGGTACTTGCGCCCCATGTCTGCCCGTCTGCGCCTGCCCATTTCCCCGCCCAGACAGAGGCACCGCACGCCGCACAGCAAACGCCCTGCCCAAGGCCCGCCCCCGCGTCCCACGATCCACTGCCTTCTCCCTCTTCGCACACCCATCCACTCTATGCTCACGCCTGGCCCAGATACATACCACGCAAGCAACAAGCAAACATGTCGTCTCTGTCTCGCCGTGCCTGCTTCAAGTGCGGAAACGTCGGCCACTATGCCGGTAAGCAACATCCGAGTCACTGACTTGTGGCGCCCGTCGCAGTGGCACAATTGCGAGGCACATGTGTCGATGCGATACCTGCAATGGTGGCGCTTGTGTCGCGAGGCCATCAAGACGGGGGCAACATGTGCATTTTAGCAGCGCGACTGACATGAACACGCAGAGGTGTGCTCTTCATCCGAGAGGCTCTGCTACAACTGTACGTCTGAATCCATATCCATGCCCACTGCCCACGCGCACACAAGGCAATCCGCTAATCCTTCAATAGGCAAGCAGCCAGGACACGAGTCCAACGGATGCCCACACCCCCGCACCACCGAGAGTACGTCATTCAGAATCTACCACTTGCGCTACTTGTCCCACGCCGCACCGTGGCTACCATCTTCGCACATTCGCAAAAGCCTGGCAGCCAGGCTGAGGCCACGACCAACTAGAATGCTGACGAAGCAACAGCGAAGCAGTGCTATCACTGCCAAGGCCTCGGACACGTCCAGGCTGACTGCCCGACGCTGCGACTGAGCGGAGCTGGTACCAGCGGACGCTGCTACAGCTGCGGTATCGCTGGCCACCTTGCCCGCAACTGCCCCAACCCAGGAATGGGCCGCGGTGCTGGCGCTCCCCGTGGCGGTTATGGAGGCTTCAGGGGCGGCTTCGCTGGCGGCGCTCGCCCTGCTACTTGCTACAAGTGTGGCGGACCTAACCACTTCGCCCGTGATTGCCAGGCTCAGGCCATGAAGTGCTACGCCTGTGGCAAGCTCGGTCAGTATGGTCGTCTGAATACGGTGTAGCGTCACTGACTTTCCATAGGACACATTTCCCGTGACTGCACCGCTCCTAACGGCGGCCCACTCAACACTGCCGGCAAGACCTGCTACCGCTGCGGCGAAACCGGCCACATTTCTCGGGACTGCACCCAGGCTGAAGTCAACGGCGACTCTGCTGCTGCCCCTGCTGCTGCCCCTGTTCCTGCGGCCGTTGCTCCTACGACCGCTGTTGCTTAGACGGCTCACGAGCTCCGCCAGCTCAAGCTTCGCCACGAGTAAAATTGTAGCGAAAGAATTAGCATTTACAGCATGCAGTTCCATATCTTTCATTTATTCCGACATCTCTTGACAATCGTTTCCTAGTCTATCTCAGCATCTTTTCGGCAAATCTCACGCATTCACGAGTCATCAACGGTTTAAAAAAAAGTTCTTCACAATTCTTACACTGATACCCACAAACGTTATCCCTTCAACCATTCTACCATGATTTCGAAACAGACGACGGCTTGGCGATTTGGATGGTTGCTCTCTACCCTCTATGGATGTGCTTGCATCGGCTAATGTAGTGTGCGCATGCGCTTGGATAGTATGGTAGTGGCTTCCTATGGAGCTTGAAGGCGGCTGTGGTGGTTTGGGTGCAGACAGTTTGATGCAAAGGGATCGAGGTGGTTATGGAGGAGGGAAGAGTGAAGGAGACTGTGTGGTTTTTTGTCAGGAGCTGGGGTTAGCACATGTGCCCCGTGATTTTCCATCTTGCATCCCTTTTCTCCTCGGCTATTCCGTCATGGTAGATTTATTCATATGTTTCTATCGTGCATAAATGTTGTTTTGTTACCAGTGATATGGCTGAGGTGGATAATAGCAAAAGTTCTAGGAGCGCTTGAAATCTTTGTATATTTGTTCACATCATCCAACAAGCAAGAACATGGAATCTGATTACTTGTATTTCTAAATCTCACTTCATCAACCACATTACTTGCATGTCATGTGCTAATAGCATATCCCTTTCTTTCCCTTACAATCACCGATACTACCGTTGCCATGCCTCCGCGCTACCCATTCCTCCTGACGCACTTTCCCCCCATCGCACCTTCCCTCGCTCAATTTCGCCACGTGCAACGTTGACCGGGCAGATTGTTCCTTCTCATGGTAGCCGCTCCTTCCAAATGTGCGTGAGTGCTCTTCTGTATTGGTCCTTACATTCTCTTCTTTTCCCTCTCTCCCTCTTCCTACCATCATCTTTCACCTTTACTTCGCTCTATCTCTTCACGTAGCATCTGTGTACTAGCTTGCTTCGCATTTCTTTTCATCCAATATTGCATCACTTCTCAGATTGCTATTATGGCGGCGGAGTCAGTGGCTAGTGATGACGAGCACAACGACGACAGCTTCATTGTAGACATTGATGCGATCCAGGCACACGGCATCGGCGCTGTCGACATTTCCAAGCTAAAATCCAACGGTTACTACACAATTGCTTCAGTGCACTCAGCTACCCGTCGCAACCTGCTCAAGATTAAAGGCTTCAGTGAGATCAAGGTCGATAAAGTCAAAGATGCTATTGCCAAATGCCAGGTCAGTTATGCTGAAGTGGTGGTGAGTGACCTTGCTTTACTAAAAAGTGTACGCAGCCTGCAGGTGGAGGCTTCCAGACTGCTCATGAGCTTGGACAACAGCGAAAGCGCGTCATCAAGATTTCTACTGGTAGCAAAGCGCTCGACGCGATTCTCGGAGGGTAGGTGCATCGACTCATGTTCTCTCATGACATCCGTTAACATGTTGCAGTGGCTTCCAGACCATGAGTATCAGTGAAGTGTTTGGCGAGTTTCGCTGCGGAAAGACGCAACTCTCACACACTATGTCTGTCATCGCGCAATTGCCGAAAGACATGGGTGGTGCTGAGGGCAAGGTGGCCTACATTGGTGCGTTGCCTTCTTGTATTCATGAGCTCTTCTGACCGTGATCCAGATACCGAGGGCACCTTTCGACCAGAGAGAATAGCCCAAATTGCAGAACGTTTTGGTGTCGATCCCGAGACTGGTCTGTAATCCCGCCTCCTTGTCAACACCCCTATTGACACTTCCAAGCACAAGACAACATCACATATGCCCGCGCTGTTAACTCTGAGCATCAGATGGAGCTCTTGAACAAAGTCGCAGAGTTCTTTGTCAGCAACGAGTACCGCCTTTTGATCATCGACAGCATCATGGCGCTCTTTCGCGTCGACTATACTGGGCGTGGTGAGCTCAATGAGCGACAGCAGAAACTCAACCAGTTCCTCTCGAAACTCACGCATGTCGCCGAGGGTTGGTTACAGTTGACCTGTTGCTTATTATTCAGCTAACAACTTACAGAGTTCAATGTCGCAGTGCTAATGACCAACCAAGTCCAAAGCGATCCTGGAGCAAGTGCTTTGTTTGCCAGCGCCGACGGTCGCAAGCCAGTTGGGGGTCACATTCTCGCTCACGCTTCCGCTACGAGGATTTTGCTTCGGAAGGGACGAGGCGAGGAGCGTGTCGCAAAGATTCAAGACTCTCCTGGTATGCCAACTGCAACATGTTTGAACGTTGCCACTGATATCTCTATCTAGACATGCCTGAGAAGGAAGCTACGTATATCATTACCAATGGTGGAATCAATGACCCGGAAAAGGTATAACGGGTATTCAACGATCTCGTGCATACAAATCTATAGACACCGAAGATCGACCTCTATATGTCTGAAAGGTTCACGGAACTTACATATGTCTGAAGAGGAAGAATGGAGGTTGCTTACGGTCAAGGGGCTCTTGCCTATAATCAATTACATGTCACAATACTCAGCGCTAAATTGTTAGGACAACCTAAGGGTGTTTTTAACTTACAGTAACATAATCTCAAGTATCTTTCCTTCTTTCGTCATTGCGCGAGGTGCATTTCGGATATTATGGTGCTGGCTGGACGATAGCTTAAGTACCTCCTGGCTAAGTAAGGCGCTACATGGTGTGGAGAGCTATCTGGATCGACAAACGTGGGCTTGATCACTGCAGTCCTCTCGTAATTATGTCAAGGGATTACACCAGAATTTAATTGAAGAACAAGTACGCGATACATGAACGGAATGTAGTAGCAAGCGAGTCTGGGAGCTTTCAAGTTCATCATGACACAAACACGACCATAACGCCATACATGTAGGATACAATTCGAGTAATAAGGAGCGACTCTAGTTAAAAATCTCCCTCCTTCAACCCTGCGACTTTACGCATCCTCCATGGCCATCCCACTCATCACCCACCCCCACATATCGACTAAAAACGCCCCATACTCATACTAAACCACAAGCACTTCAGCAGCACTGACCGTTAATGTTCTGGCCTTGAATCCCAGTTAGCCACCCACAAGTTCCCAACGAAATTAAAAAAAAAAAACAAGGTCTTGGACATGTATTACCGTTTGAGTTATAAAGAGAGTTATCAGCCCCATAGTAAATATCACCATAGCTAGACGGCCACGAGAAATCCTTTGTGCAGTGGCTAGTCTGATCCAACTTGGCCTCGACATGTGCGCTGCCCCCGTCGATCTGGCGAGCACCATCGTTACCCGCGCAGAGGATAGCTTGGTTGACGAGGATGCAGCCTCTGTTTACGTGCTTTTTTTTTTCTTCGTTTCTTTAAGTCAGCTACTACTACTTTTTTGAAGAAGGGGGAGGGGGGGGGAGGGCAATGTACAATGTAGTCCTCCTCCCATGCTTGTCTCGGAAGTAAAAAAGAATGTGTGGCACGCCTGGTTGGAACCAACTGGAGCGCCTTCACAGAATCAGGTAGCACGCCTAACTCAACAGATTGGTCCGTCTGATGAAGTAGATTGCTCTGCATCACAGGATGAATAGGCGTCCTAACTGAAAAGTGGCCCAGATCCCCACGGATCATGCTACTTGTAACGTGATTGGTATTGATATGAGTAGGAGTCTGTCTTGCCCATGCAATGCAGGCAGGAAAAGGCTTAACACCGGATTCATATAGTTGATAGTTCAAAGGCAAGCTTACGAGGGAATTGGCTCATTTGTATAACAGAGTTTCAATATCGATGCTGTCATAGAGACTGCATACGAGACAATGCTGATGCCTGATATGGTACCTAGAGGACATCCAACTAGCTTACCTCCAGGCTTCGTAGCTAAGGCAGAGTTTACTCAAGGCGTTCCTTTCATACGCTATCAATGATCATGTACGACAATGATCGCGATTTCATTGCGCTCGATGGGGAGTCATTTGCTTGTTTCAAAAGACGAACCCACTCAATATGATTTGGTTTTCACTGCTGGCACGGTGATAATGGGGAACTTCATTGGCTATCATTTCTCCCATTGTTCTCTTTATTCGGGTTCTGGGCAGTCACCAGCTCGGCGCAATGTCTCATGTACGGTTTATCGCCGTCGCTGTAGTGTGATGTTAGATGGGCGTTCGGTCTTTGGACTCGGCGGTGAGTTGAAGCATGGGTACACAGCGAAATTCAAGAAGCATTTGACGCTAGTGGAGATTGAGGAGTGTATTGTATTTCATGAGAGCCCGGGGTTCGTGAGTGATACACAACCGAGGCATCGTCTGGGGAGAATGGGACTTGTGGAGGGGGACGCTGTTGATAAAGATAAGTTTTATGGGTGACGAAGGTAGATGAGGGATTTATTTTACGGTCTGTATTCTCAGTCATGATATTTCTTTCAAAATAATTAGCCTAGCAAAGACATCTCTCATCTTTTGTGATATCAGCTAGAAATAGACTTTTTGTTGTATCAAATAGGAAAATCGACGAACTTGCTTCTGGATGGTTACATTTATCAGCTTTAGATAGAAAAACAATCAGCTTTACTTGCAAAAGAGGGTATTAAAGCCATGTTGACTTGTTCAAGTTCGCATGGATTGTTACATTGAGACTCTCTGAGGCAGCAAAAACTAGTAAATGATTTTGTTTCTGCCTAAAAATGGAGGGTGAGGTCTAAACTAAAGTGATGTAACTGAATTCCGAAGTTTCTGTAGCCTCACCATCCATAATGCCATTCACATAAGCTTCGCTGACCAAGCTAAACCGCCCCTTATCCAACGGTCGAAGGACAAACGGAACCTGACTTCCTTCAATAATCGCAATCACATCGCCCTGTCTTACATCATCTGAGCTCAACCCAAGATGTTCCTTTTTCGTCACAAAAGGAAGTCGTCCCAAGCTCGTTCCCATGATTTGAAATGCCAACCGAAGCTCACTCTTTATCCTATCTGTAAATTTCGTGGTTATTGTCTGAGTAGCTAAGAAGCGTTCTGCCTCAACTTTGAGGCGCCCATTTCCAAAGAGCTGTAGCCCGTCTCGCAAAAGGATGACAGCATCATCAAAGTGGGCATTTCCAGCGCGGGTAGGTTCCACTTCACTATTCCTTACAATGTCCCCGGTTGCAGTTTGTGCACTGTCGGATAATCGGTCGCGAAATCTCTTGTAACGTTTTTTGGTGCAACAATAGCTGAGGCGCAGAATCTCGACCAGCCACTCCGAAGTCCATGTGTACGTCTCCGAAAGTGGGATACCTTTGCTGTGAATCCGGTTGGGGAAACGCCCGACTTGAATAATCTCATCGAAAAGAATAGATTTTACTGATATGTGCTTTGCAATTCCAGCTTCCTTGACTATCGTGATCGAGTTTTGGTTCGTATGACCACCTGAGGAATTGAACTCTGGGTACAAAGTCATGTGGTCGTTCCGCACGTCTTGAAGCATATCAGTTACCGATCGAGACCAATCCGGGACCCAAGATGGAAGGTTTGGTGACCTGGACGCTTGACACATCGAGAGAAGGGATATATGGCCCTGCCGTAGTAACGCTACCATAGTAGTAGTATACGTTTGTTCGTATGGAACATCATAATTTGGGACGACGCCAAAATTTTTCAACTCCTCTCTATCTGCAGCCAGGCCTAGCAAGGCGAAGATCTTGTCCTCTGGTTTTGTCGCTTCGAGGTTATGAGGTCCATGCCGTTTGAGATTTATGCTGCCGACACACGTCGCGCGAAGGAGGGCTGCCAACGGAAAAGCTCTATCACGGCATATCTTTGGCATGGATAGCATGATGGTAGGACGGTGGTGAAATAGATGTTTCATGATCTCGAAGTGATATAGTTTTGTGTTCGTTTGGTCTATCTGAAAGGCGGTAGCATTGATCTTCCATAGTGCCGCATACATGTGTATGAAAGCGTTACAACGGGTCGTTGACAGTCTTTGGGCTCCGCAAATGAAGTGGGTGTCCCTTGAAAGAGCAACTTCTTGTAAAACCCATATCCTCGTCCACCAAGATCTGGTAAAGAAATTCTTCAACTCGGTAATTGGTAGCAAGTTACTCTGACTATTCCTGCCGCTAACGGAATCCAATAGACTTTTCATAGCTCTGCCGTATCCTGGGCTGGCCGATAAGATTTGCTGATATCCACCAGGTACAAATTCAATTTCATGCCATAACTTGTGGCACATTCCGGACGCATCCTGGATACCACATGCTTCCGCTGTTGACCCGATGGTGTTGATGCAGCGGATGGCTACGTCACTACTCTTGTCTGCTGGTCCTAACCACACGAAGACATGATTAGCCCGTTGATAAATTTCTCTCATCAAACCCACTTGAACGCTCTTTTCTTCATTCTTTCCCTGGTTGATGCAGATAGCATCGACCCAGAAGTGAAGGGGTTGATTACGGGACCTTGTATAGGGCTTGAGTCTGGCTAATCTTTTACGATTCTCTCGAAATTGCCATAGAGCCTCGTGAAGATTTCGGGTCACTGCGATGATTCTCCCGTTGCATAACAGATTTAATGTGTCGTTTGCATCTCCCCATGTGTAAGAGAGTGCGATGTATGGCGGATGGTCGTCAATTCTGTACTTTTCGATTCCAAGTGAGATAATTTCGTCGTCATGACCGAATTTAAGATCGAGTAAACGTATGTGTCGATCATTTAGACTCTCCGAGTATTCGAAATACGCCCTTGGAAAAGCTATTAGCTACAACGCATTGTTTCGTAGTTATTTCTTGTAGAAATTGCTTGCGGGGACAGGATGAATAAGATCTAAAGCGAGCAGGTGGTGAAAAGAAAAATGAATTGGAACAATTACTCATGCAAATGTTGGCCAGAGGATAGAGTTAAAGCTGAGGTCTCCATAACATTCGCTCGTGTAATACGGGGTTTGAAGCTAGGCCCTTACAATACAGGCTAATTAATGTTCTGTATACTGTGTGGAGGTTGTATCGTTGATTGAACAAGCTGAAACCATGGGCTTAAAACAAGATGTTGTTGCTCGAATGCCGTACGCATATAGCAAATGAATACATGCCACGACTCCGTAGCAGCTAGGCAACATTTATTCCCTAATGTATGTTGGCAAAGGCGCAGTTGAGGATTAGTGGGGGCGTTGCAGACCGGTGAGCTGTAACTGGAGGAAGGCGCAACCCAGAAGGCTGAGGAGCCATCAATTGTACCACATGATATCGTCTGCGATTATGAAATCAAATATTTTCATCATTGACCTAGTAGTTTACTTCATTTACACAAGTACTTTATAAACAGGCTATCCTTAGGTAGGTGATGACTAGTCGATTCCCGTTGTGCATATTCCTCTGCCAAAAGACACGTCACGTGATGATGCCTGACATATTGGTCCATACCTCGTGAAGAAACAAAGAAAACTTCTCAGTATCGATTTACAAGACGTCAAGATACCGAAATAAACAAAGATAAACCTCATGTGCTTGCCAGACATGAAATAAACCTTAATGCACCCAACTTAATCCAATACAAGCTTACCGCATGCGCGTCGACGTCGAAGCTCCACTCGAACCTCGGCCCTGTGTCCTCCCCGCATCCCTCCCGCATCCTCCAACTAATCATATACTAATTCAACGCATCAACACAAGAACATAAACATCATAAACCAACTGCCGAATAAAATCAAACAATCGACCTCAAGAAGTCTTACAAAATCCCGTTCTTGCTGAAACAGAAAAGAAAAAGTGTCATCTAATTCCATACTCGCTGCTCTCATTGTTTCCACCACCACTCCCAAATACATACTACGCGTCCCATCATCACCCAACATGCCCAGACAACCCAAACAATCTCCCCGCCACAAGCCAGATATCCAACTCCCTACTTCCTACAACGACCTCCCTTTTACCCAAATCCGCACTCAGCACCATACCAAAGATGCATCCGTCATCATCCTCACACTCTACCGCCCGCAAAACCACAATGCATTCACCGACACAATGCAGGCGGAGTTGGAATCCGCATACGCCATGTTCGATGTAGACGAGCGCGTGCGATGCATCGTTGTGACGGGCCATGGACGGATCTTTTGTGCGGGCGCGGATCTGGATGATGGGTTTGGGGAGGGTGTGAGTGGGGAGGGGGCGGAAGCGGTGACGGAGCATAGGGATGGGTATGTTGCTTCCTTCTCGCACTATTCATTTTGAGTTGGCTATTGAGAATACTGGGTTATGCTAATGCTACGAGAACAGAGGCGGACGCGTTGCGCTTGCTATACATCACTGTCGGAAACCAAGCATAGCTGCGATCCAAGGTTCTGCAGTTGGCGTGGGCATCACCATGACGCTGCCGATGAACATCCGTATTGCAGCGTCGACGGCAAAGATAGGATTTGTTTTTGCGCGTCGCGGACTCATCATGGAAGCCGCTTCTTCGTTCTATCTGCCTAGGTTGATTGGGCACTCGCGTGCCATGCAGGCTATTACCACAGGCAGCACGTATCTGGCTACGCACAAGGTCTGGGATGGCCTTTTTGCAGAAGTGTGCGAGAAGCCTGAGCAGGTGCTGCCGAGGGCGCTTGAGCTGGCCGAGGAGGTAGCTGCGAACACAAGTAGTGTCAGTACGTATTTGATGAAGGAATTGATGTACAGGGATCGTGGGAGCCCCGAGGGCCAGCATTTATTGGATAGCAGGATCATTTTTGAGTTGTTTGGGTCGCCGTAAGTTCATGCAATATGGATAATTTGACATCGATAAGCTAACTGTGAATGCAGGGACAACAATGAAGGTGTTAAGTCTTTCATGGAAAAGCGGCCGGCAAATTTCAAGGCAACAATGGATAAGACGAAGGTGACTGGGTACCCATGGTGGATACCTGTGGATACATTAGGAAGGCCAAAAGTGGCGCCGACGGGAGGATCAAAGATCTAGTTGCATGTCAGAGGATTAAGTAAAGGCGTATGCGATACTACATGTTGACTCGCAATTTCATGAGTTCATTGTCTATCGTCCAGCTCGTACCATACCCTCATTTGGTAGTCTGAGACTTGCCCTATTTGCGGAACTCTGGCCAGCACCCTGTGTAGCATCACGCGTCTCGATGACTCGAACGGAGGTATCAGGGATTTTCATTCGTTCCTAGTGTACTTCTTTTCGTGAAGCATGCATAACCGAGGGAAACCCATAACAATCCTTCCCATCCAGACCGCACTCCGTAATAAGAAACACGCTTAGAAGAAAGTGGATGGGCGGTGGGCAGCGAAGACCTTCTTGCCCGCCTTCTTGTTGATGCGGTGGGGCAGCGGGAACTTGAGGTTCTTGGTGAGGAGCTGCTTGATGTATGGTCGGCGGAGGTCATCGGCCTTCTCGACCTCAACGACCTTGAGGATCTAAGTGAAGTGTGAGCTTGATGTTGCAGATGACGGATCAAGGATAATCATACCTGAACGGACCTGAAGCGCGTTCGGTGACGGGCAGCCATGTCCTGGTAAAGAGCCTCGACGGCGGCGACACGGGACATCTCACGGTACTCCTTGTACATGTTGTGGGTGCCGGAGCGCGAGTCGTACTTGATCCAGATACCGAAGTTCTTGACCTTCTGGGGCTTCTTCTCGTGAATCTGGACGCGGGTTAGCCTCAGTGCGCCGGGCTGTGTGTTCGTGTGTGACTGCGGCGTACCTGGTTTACGGAGACGATCTCACCGTTGGCCTTCTTGATCTTGCGGAGCTTGCCAAGGAAGTACCAGAACCGTGACTTGGCGACGACCTCGTTGGGCGCAAAGATGCGCATACGGTAGATCTTTGGCGCAGGGTTGGCCTCGGAAGGCAGATGGCGCCCGATGATCTGGTATTCCTGGAAGCGAGCTGATGCATAGTCAGTACTGCTCCAAAAGAAAAGGTTTCGTAGTCTCTGTTCCAGCAATTGCAGCAGTCATACGCAGCGTAGGTCGGTCGTGTTGAGGGCGATTAGGATGCGGTCGGGGGAGTCCAAGTAGGCGCATGCAGGTTCTCAATTTTTCATCCAAAGCCATCATCACGGTTGCTTGACGCCCTCAATCCACCAAGCAAACACGAAGAAGCTTATGCAACCTCCTTTCACATCCTCTATTCTTTCGCCATGTTCGGTGTGCCATCACAGGCTTTTCGGTGCGTGTCGCGGGTTTGTGCGAAAGCTCCATCGGCTGCAATTGCTGGGCGAGACGGTGATGCGCAGGAAATCGAAAGAGAGTGCTTACCCATCTGTGGTGTATTAGCAAGCAGAATGAGTGAGAGAAGGCAATATGGACTGACCGTAATTGTGCTGTGGTTAGTACCTTGGGGTGAGAAGTTCAGGTCGTCTATCGCGAATTGTGGCCGGCCTGTCGAATTCGAGGTCGCTTGTGGGCGCTAGCCGAGAAGAGGAGCCACCACGACTTGGCGGCCAGGTGCGAGCTGCATCGGCGAACCCACCGCCCAAACACCGACACTACTAGCATCCGCAATCGTCAGAACATCAAACAGCTCAGCTTCCGGCACGGGCACAACACGACATGTCTAATGGTTGAAAACACCTCCGGAGGCCGCCAATACTGCTGAGACTCTCCAAAACCCCATCTCTAGCTGCAGCAGTCCCAGCCATAGCCCCAGTTCCAGCCTCAACTATGCAAGCCGCACTCGAACCTTTCCATGAGGCATATGCCACAGGATTGGCGCAGCCCGTTGCAGACTTTCTCAGCCCAGTTGCGCCTGCGCATGATCCTGGGCGACTGTATGAATTCTACCGCGCTTCCAACGGAGACAAGATCGAGGGCGATGTTCGCTATGCGCTCAAACACAACAAGAGCGCGCGCATGACCAACAAAGAGAGCGGTGCTTGGGTTGATATCATTGCTGCTTATTGGCGCGCTGTCAGGGAGATTATAAGGGCGGACGAGGCTGCAAACCAGGACAGGCTTAACGAGCGCCAATTCGTGGCAGTATATGACGCTTGGAAAGACTTGACCAGCAGCTTTATCAAGCACATATCGGCTGGGCTACTGCCACCTTGGGCCATCTTTACGCTGTATTTCACTGCGAATCATCTTAGGAAGATAGCTATCACAGCAGACGAACAGTTGGCCAAGTCGAAATCAGCAACTCCCAGCACAGGATTTTCAGACGATATCGTGAGCACTGTTCCTCAGAACCAGAAGCTTGAAGAGGCTGCTCGAGTCTTCAACAGGATCTTTGCGCTATGCCTTGGTGATAGGTGTGCCATATCTCCATTGCTGTGTTTGAGTCATTGTCTTACAATGCGCCAGGAATCCAGACATGTCCGAGTCCCGTAAATGGGGTGTATACTGTATAGCCAATCTCCAGTTCAAGACATACTTCAAGGTAACAATTCGTCGACAACTGATTCCTAGTCACCGCTGATCGAAGAACTCGTAGTTGAAAGCCATCAGCCTATCCAAGAACGTAGTGCGATCGATCGAAGCGCAGTCCGACCTACCTACATTCGAGCTATACCCACGCGCCCATAGGGTAACATACAAGTACTATCTTGGAGTGCTCTCATTCCTGCAGGAGGACTATGCCAAGGTATTCCCAAAAGCCAACATTATGGGGGTCCTTCTAACATCTGGTAGGCAGAGAGCAGCTTGCAGCAAGCATGGGAGTCTTGCTACTCGCGGTCGCAACATAACAAATCGTAAGTGTGGCAATCAACAACACAATGTATGCCAAAATCTGACTGCTCTAGCCTGATCCTCACGTACTTGATTCCTTGCCGCCTCATCACCCAGCACAAGATTCCGACGACGAGCCTTCTCGCAGAAGCCCCGCATCTGCAGCGCACCTTCGGGCCTCTCGTATCGTGTATAAAACGTGGAGATCTTACGGGCTTTGACAGGGCCCTTGCGGAGGGCGAACCCGAGTTTGTCAAACAGCGCATATTCCTCACCCTAGAACGAAGTCGCGATATTGCCCTGCGCAATCTTCTCAGAAAAGTATATCTTGCCGCCGGCTTTGACGATCTCAAGGAAGGACAAACGGAGAAGGACAGAATACGCAAGTCGCGCATACCACTAGCGCATTTCGCAGCCGCACTCAGAATGGGGACTGCAGGTGAAGGCAGCGGCCAAGTGGTGGAGGATGATGAGGTGGAGTGCTTATTGGCGAATCAAATCTACAAGGTGTGTACCAAACGCAATGGCTGTACCGATCAAAAGTTTGGCTGACAGGTTTCTTAGGGTCTGATGAAAGGCTATATCTCGCGCGACCATGGAATAGTAGTCATGAACAAGAAGGGAGCATTCCCCGGGACAGGGGTCTGATGCCTAAACTCTATGGCCTGCTGCCTTGCGTAAATAGAGTCACCACACCACCTCAACAGGATTCTTGGCTTTTGCGGGAATATGACTCTGGCATATCACTAACACTGTGCATGTGCACAAGAGCATGCATCTTGGGTTGGTTGCACAGATGAATGGTACATCCATGGAACGCTGGTAAGACTATGATAATAGAAAAAGATTCAAACAGCATACCCAGGTTATGGAACCATCGAAATCTCTCTACATCATTCCTGTCCCTTGCATAGTTATGAACTGTGTGACGCACAGGCCATGTGTAGTGAGCGAATAGTATCTCGACTCTATCCTTTTCATTCCATCTCTCAAGCAAACATCCTTGCTCAGCCCTCATGAGCTGAGATTGCATTTTCAGACCCACTTCTCGTCCTCTTTGTTGTCCCATCCCATCATTTCTTTTCGTTATGTACGCATACTGTGTACAGTCTGCGTCCAGTCTCATCTTTGCAACCGTTCTGCTACACACGCGTACTTGTTTCTGTGACTTTCATTAAGAAAGGGAGTAAGAACAACGAGACCTGGACAGGTAGCAGACACTTCACACATGGTAACAAAGACGCTTAGACATAGTAGCAATTGCTATGTAATCGACAAACCGCATCAATGTCTCATGATACCAAATAATCATCGTTCAAAGTCCATCGCAAATATCTGTAGGCCAGAAGGGAATCAGGCCAGCGTGATACAATCTGGTAGTAAACCTCCCACGCGAAAGCAGAACAGTTGAATAGAAAGAAAGAAACGAAACAAGCGTTAATAAAAGGATATTACCTGATCATAACGAAGAGAAACAGTCTTTCAAAAAACAAGCTGAACACATATGCCTTGGTGCATCAAGCACTCTTTCCGCAATTTCCTTGGATGGTCTGCGCTTTGATCCCCCATTCTAGTAGCTGCAGATGCGCAAAAAAAAAAACGCCAAAGTGAGTAAGAAAGGAAAAAGTGGGATATATGTAATAGTACAACAGTTGGAAAAAAAACAAATGAAATAGGGAAAAATGAGACGAAAGATTAGAAAGAAAGGAAAAAGAAGAATGCAAGAAAACGCCCTGGTAAAAGCAAAGAACAGTAAGGAAAGAAAATGATAGAGGAAGGACCGATACTGGGGGAGGACGTAGCTGAAGGCTGATCGGGGAGGGAGGGAAGCGAAATATGTACATGAAGAGTAGTAGTAGAAGAAGAAGGGGAGAGGTGAAAGGGGTCAGTGAGTCGTTTGCGCCATGGCAGTCATGGGAAAGCGGACCAAATGGTCGATTTGGGCAAGGCAGTTGCGAACGGTGCTAGTACGCGGGCTTGGCAGACAAATCATCCATGTGATTGACCATGGCGACGAACAGATCGAAGAAGAGCTTGCCACCACTCTCCATCTCATTCTGCATAGTGCCACTGCGCTTGAACGTGTGGCGTGCCCGGATGATAAGCGCAAGATAGTGGGCACGCAGCTTGGAATCGTTGTCAGGCGTATTCGCATACGCATACCGCGCCGACGTAAGGATGGTCGAGCACTGGATGCCAGATTGCAATCCTTGCTTCTTCAGCGCCAACTTCTTGAGTTCCTGGAGCCCGTACTTGTCTGCCTGGCAATAGATGATGGTGTCTTTCAAGATGGGGCCGACAGAGGACTGGATGACGGCTTCGTGGGGATTGTTGGCGCCGGCGCCGGCGTCTTCGAGGTTCCAGCTGTTGCGCTTCTTGTCGTACTCGACGCGGGGGTAGTAGTCGCCTTTGTAGAGGTACTCGAGGATGGAGGAGAAGACTTCGGGTTCTTCGTCGGGGAGGTCGATGCGCTTGTTGGTTGTTTGGAAGAATTGGCCCGAGCAGAGGGATTGGAACCAGGGCGAGTGGGAGAGGACGTCTTCGTGGGCGGCGAAGAGGCGTTGTTCGCGGCCGACGGATATGGTGACAATTGCACTGGGGAGGTGTTGTTAGCAAGGATGTTCGAGAAGGGACAATTGAGCGGGAATCTTACCTCCCAAGCGACGGCGATGTCGGACTAGGTTGCGCTGAGGATGCCTGCGCTTGTTGTGCTAATTTCTCTACTCTTCTGGGCGAATCCTTGAAGGAAGGGTTCTTCTTGGACGACTTCGACTTGCTTGCTCGATGTTTCGAGAAGCTGCCTTCCTGGTACCGTGTGCGGTTTGATGATGAGAACATATTCAACAGATGATGTTGGAGACAAGGCTTTTGATGAGTAGACGTCGTGGATACTTATAGGTACAGTTAGTAGGCAGCAGATGTAGGAATCTGGACTGGCAAGCCAATGGAAGATGCAGTTCCTCAGGCGGATGATTAGCTGGGCACAGCAGGCGATGGCAGGCCAAGTAGCGAGCGAATGCAGCCATGTATATATACCTGACTCTTCGCAGGAGGCCACTATCGGGCCCTCTGCCGGGGTGAGGTTGAGTTGCGACGCGTCCAATCCGCGTCGAGGGTGACTAGCGTGTTATCAGGTAACACGATATCACATGCAGCGCCTTTCCTTTCCGGGCTGCTAAGAGTCAGCCCTCAGCAGACGGCTAAGCCCTGGACCGGGGCCAGGTAGCACTTGGCCAAGGTTGTGAAACAAAGGCGGGACAAAGAGCGGATTGCGCTAGGCTGGCGCTGCCCATGCTTCTACTGCAATGAGCAACTCGAGCTGTACGAGAGACATCGCTTAGAGCTCGAGCATGCTTACTCCTACACCTACTTGCGACATATCCCTTCATGCTTTTTCATCCTTTTGCCCTCCAGTCGCCAATGGGCATCCACACAGAGCCGTCGAGCCGTCGAGCCGGCGAGTCCCTTGTCGCGTTCCTCGCCGAAGCCAGCACCCCTTCATGGCACAGCTCGCGCTATGGCCAGGCTACCCAGGAAACTTTGCGAAAAGCAACCGCAGCCGATTCCGCGCAGTAGCCACCGTCGGTTCATCGCTCCCACCTACGCATACATACCCGGCAAGGAGGCGTGGCTGCTCGTCCTGTGCCTAACCCACATGCGGTCTGCCGTTCCCCTGGAGGGGGCAAAAGTCGCGTCGGCCTCACCTCACAAGCATGGAATAAGGCACTGATCCGATTCCGCGCAACGATGCAATTCGCCGCCAGACAAGCCAATGTTAACAGTCATCAAATGGTGCCTAATGTCGCGGCAACATGCGTCGCTGATCGTTGAGCCTTGGAAGAGAGGGGTCAACTTGGGGCGAGGGGGGAGCGCGCCCTGCCCTCGCTTTCACGCGCCAGTCCGCCCCTCAACGCGACCGCGACAAGAAATCACGTTACCACTTTACGTCCCCTTCGGGCATGGCCCCGACGCCAATCTGCAACCCAGCCGTTTCGCACCCTTACATAGTTGTGCTTTACTTGGAGGACTGCGCCCGTCTCATGGTCGGCGGCCATGATACCAATTTTGACGCCTTTCCGCGTCAGCCCTGGCTTGCTGGGTGATGCCATGGTTCTGTCAATACCGTTGGGGTCGACATCTGGTTTCCACTGCAACCGCATACATCTTAAGTACTACTATTAGTAGATGCTTCGCTGTAAATCTGCATTCATACTGTGCAGATGTAAAGGGCAATCCGAGTAACAGACCCTCGCAAGCTTTGCTCGCCACAGATTCCATACACAGCCTCCGTTGCCATCGGGCTCTCCCTATGCATTCATCCTTTCTTTGTCCACATATCCTAGCCTTCCTTGGGTGGTGCCTGGTTGCGGCTTTCCATGCTCATCCTATTGGCTCGCCCGCACACCCTCTTCTGAGTGTGTAGTATCTAGCGCCACCTGCTTCGAACTCTGGTAATGGGCTTGCCGAAAGATCCGTTTTTCTTAGCATTAGGGCAACACTGTACCACACATCTATGCTCCTCGTCTGCAAAGGATGCGGAAACATACTGCACCGTATCTGGGGCTTGCATCCTAGCTGATATCCAGATGATGTAAAACGTCTTCTGGTAAGACATTTGGTGCCCGATGAACGAGGACGGCTCGGACTGATGGTCCTTTACCCCGAGATTTCTTGCTAGGGAGTTGGGCTGTGCATCCTTCAGCAGCCGGTGCGTCACTCCAATACCACTACTGCTCCACTGAAAAACAACCGAACGCTGTCTTGGCAAGCTGTTCTCTCTCGCTTGGATACTATACTCGCTTTTTATAGGATGCTTTTCGAATAATTTGATGCAACATCTGTGGGTTTTTGGCACTTTCAGCTAGGCATCCTTTGACCATATGCGAGTTTCATCACTCGTTACCCCGGTGCACACTTCTTACAAACAGCATGTCTTATTCCATGCCAGAACAGCGCCGAGCATCTTCCCGCTCCCCATGTCATTTAGGCTTCTGACATCCCTACACCTCAACAGCCTCGAAGCAAGTTTTGCGGAACAGCCGACACAGACTTGACAGCTCCGATTGTACGGAGTTTCATGAATCACAGTCTTCATAGATTTCGATCCAGATTACAGTGCTGATCGAAATCGGTTTCCGCATCATGCACCTCGCTTATTCTCACCGCATGGCCCTCTAGCAAGGCACTTACCGTACTAGTCAGCCCTATACAAGGCCTGGCTGTAACATACTCTCAGATCTTTAAAAACAACTTACGTAGTCATCCTCTTTAAGCTAACTGACCAGATATTCAACTATGTAGTTACTGTAATACAGCACAGCATACAGCTATGTTAACATCGCAAAAGGAAATCTGCTGTACAGGAAGACCAAGAACTCATGCTATGGAGACTATTTTGCTTTCGAGGTTCTAGAAAACTAGGCGTTGCCGTGTTCTCTGTAAATATGATAAGAAGCTTATAGCAATAACGTCACTACTGAGGTAAAACAAAAACGCTTTAACATGATCTCGATGTTGATGATTAAGCTACGTTTAGATTCAAAAGTAGGCGAATATTCTGGTGATTATATATCTACAAGAGACTCTTAGCAGTAAAGTGGTGGATGAGATGGCAGCTTGCGAAGCGTTAAATGCTACGTGACTGTAAAAGACTGAAGCAACTTTACGACCACCTCGTGTCCCCTCTCCGCAGCCCACGATAGCGGCGTCCAACCGTACTTATCCTTAGAGTCGGGGTCTACCTT